TTGGAAACAATAAGTTCAGTTTGTCTTTTAATTCAGATATTATTGGAACTGGTTCACTTTTGCCTTATGATAATCTGTATTTACTTGATACTGTGACCACCTATAATGAAACCCTTAATACAGAATCATGGGTACTAAACATAAAATTGAAAATACTCACTCAAGTGCATTATGACACAAGTGCTCAGGTAACATCAAATTGTAACGTTTGGGCTTGTGTTACACTCTTAAAGATATGGTAGAGAGTATGATTTGTCATTCCACCTTACTGGAATCACTTTGGGGAGAGACGCTAAATATGACAGCTTATATTCTAAACAGAGTACCAACTAAAGCAGCTACCAAAACATCTTATGAGCTTTGGACTGGGCGACAGCCTAGTCTGAAGCATTTCCATGTGTGGGGTTGTCCAGCTAAGGCAAGGCCTTATAAGCCAAATGAAAAGAAATTGGACTCCCGAACAGTAAGTAGTTATTTTATTGGTTATGCTGAAAGATCCAGGGGATATAAATTTTATGATCCCACATTAAAGACAATTTTTTGAGACGGGAACTGCTACGTTTTTTGAGGATATTGAGTTTGGGGGGAAGAATAAAATCAGGAACTTTGTCTTAGAGGAAGAATCGGTAACAATTCCAGAACCGATTCAAACAGTTACTTTTGATAAAGTAAGTTTGGAACCTCCACAATGCATTGTTAATGAACCCCTTACTCAAGATGATTTGGTTGTTCATGAAGAACAAACTCAAGATCCTCAAGAACCTGTGCATCATGAGCCAATAACTTTGCAGAGATCCACTAGAGAAAGAAGAAGTGTTATTTTGGATGATTACATGGTATTTCTTCAGGAACATGAAGATAATAATAGTATGATGGAAGATGACCCAGTTAACTTCCGTCAAGCCATGCAAGGTTCTAACTCTGAAAAGTGGATTGAAGCAATGAAGGAGAAGTATAAGTCCATGCAAGACAATAAGGTTATTGGGAACTTGTCCCATTACTATAAGGTATGAAACTCATTTGGCTTCAAGATGAATATTGTTGATGATTGTATGTATCACAAGTTTAAAGGGAGATAAGTTTAGTCTCAATCAGTGCCCAAAGGAGAATTTGGAAATTGAGGAAATGCAAAAGATTAGTTTGATGTATGCCCAAGTATGTACGCGTCCAGACATAGCATATATAGTTGGGGTTCTAGGCAGATATTTAAGCAATTCAGGAATAGACCATTGAAAAGCAGCAAAAAGGGTCATAAGATATTTAAAGAGAACAAAAGATTATATGCTCATATATAGGATGTCAGACCAGTTGGAGATCGCTGGATTTTCTGACTCATATTTTGCAGGATGTCAAGAATTTGTAGCATGCTATGAGGCATCAAATCATGGAATATGGCTGAGAAATTTTGTCACAGGGCTGCAAATTGTGAAAGGCATTGAAAGACCACTTAAGTTATATTGTGACAATAAATCAGCTGTATTGTTAAGGAAAGAGTACAAAGTGGACAGATTTCCATAGAACACTTAAGGACAAACTCCATGATAGCATATCCTCTAACTAAAGGACTTTCGCCCAAGGTCTTTCATGAGCATGTTGCTCACATGGGTGTTTTACAGTTTGAGGAATTTGTGGTTTAGTGGGAGTTAGTCATTTTCATATATTTTATATTCTATGTTTAATTTTATATATGTATACATTGTTTTTTGGACATATTTGGTTATCTATAGATATGCGGTTTTCTTGTTCATTCATTACACTTTGTACATTAAGGTTATTGTATCGATCTCGATAAGTTAAAGTTTGGACCAGTTGAAAATAGACGTGTACAGATCACCTTCACGTAATTTTTCATGCTACACATTTCATGATGAATCCATGTCATTTGGTTATGTTAGGATGAGTAATCATTGTTGGTTTTAGTTGCGATGATGCAATGAAAAGCTGGTTTGGTTCTATATCCTAATATGATTAATGGACGAGGACTTTTGGAGTATGCTAAAGGAATATAATGACAATTTTGAGCTCATAAAGTCTAACACATTTGTAAGGTTGTAAGGACATATATATTTGTGACCGAGTGGGAGATTGTTGGAAAAATTTGGGTCATGTATATATATGATACATAATTTAAATGTGTTAGGGTCATTATTTATTAAGCCAAATAATAAAGTGATCTAACTAAATTAAAGTTTTGGCTAAAGGCATATGTCATGAAAATAAAATTGTGTAGAGACCATAGAGCAATTTCTAATTTGATGAGGGGCCAAATTGGAAATACTAAAACTTAAGTAATTAACCTAATTCCGGTTATCTAAAGGGTCATGGTCCCCTTCGAGAGCACACACACGAACGTAAGTATCGGTCCCGTTCCTTTCTTTCTATCCCCATCAAGAGAGAAAATCAAGAAGGAAATACGAGTGCTCTTCGGTGGAAGACCATAAGATCAATATAGTGCTCTACAAAGACATCATCGTTATGGCTAATTCGAGTACGCTTTCGCATTCGGCTTACAGCATGTTTATCAGGTATGGGATTATGTTTATGTTTGATTGTTAGAATCAAAATCAGGATTATTATTATTATTATTATTATTGTTTTTCCAACAATTATAATATAATAATAATATCCGTAATACCTCTAATATATTATATGATATTTTTGAATAAAAATAAAAATATTTAATTTTAATTAAAGTATTTTTAATTAAAAGAATAAGATATGATAAGAGAATAATAAAAAAGGGGAGAGAAAAAAAATGTTAACCAAATAAAAAAATTAACAACAAATAAATGAAGAGAAAATTAAGAAAATAAATAAATAAAAATATTATATTATATTAAATAAATTTATTTTTTATTATTGAATTTTGTGTATAAATAATAACATGTTTAATTGAATAAATAAATTTACATAAAATTTATTTAAGTTATTTTTTTAAATATATTATTAATGAGATTAATTCAAAATTTATATTTATTTTAGTATTATATTTGAAAAAGTCGTATAAATTTAGATTAAAATATATATATATAGTCCAATTTGAACCCAATGGACCATACAATTCTAGTAAAAATACTATATAAGAACTCTCAATTTTAAAAGTAAGTTCTACACATAATTCCACCCAATCTTCATTTAATATCTCATGAACAATTTTTCTATAATTGAAAATACAACTCATGTTACACAAAAAGTGATTCAACCAGAGAGTTGTAAATTAGTCATTTTTTAAGGGTAAAAGAAATGTTAAGCTGGAACAAGCAAACCAGGCATGCACACACAATATTCACAACCTACCAAAGACATGCACATGAACAGAGGAGGTTGTCACAACCACATCCAAAAATTTACTATACATCTTTAACTCATAATCTTTTTGTTCGGTATTTTTATTTTCGACCCAATTATTATCGAGTGATTTAAACGAATAATATTCGATTCATGACGTTATTTTTAATTTTTTTTTTAAATCTTAGAAGTTACTCAAAATTTTTTTTTTTTTATTAACGTTTTCACTTTTTTTGAACACGTAAAAGATAACATCGTCTTGCATATTGATGTCTTTTAACGTTGGTGCGTGAGTGAGGTGGACACCACTCTGTTTAATTATGATACCAAACTGTAGTGGGGATTGGGCATGTCATCATAAAATAAAATGTTTGGTCAAAGGAATTATAATTTTTTATTTTGAAGTGAAAATAATTATTAAAAATGAAAAATTTGTAAATTCTATGAAACTCGCACGAAATGAATTTTGATTGAAGGTAAAGTAGGGTTTCTTTTAGCACATCATCGTCTTCACTAGTTGCTGATTTGAACCATAATTCAATTAACATGCTTATATATACAAAAGAATGTAGAAAAATACAAATTCTCAACTTATTATACTAATTTTGATTAAGTTAAATACAACTCAATTTTTAATAAACTGGTAGATATTATTACAAGCTTAATTTTGTTATTTGACCGTGGCAGCATGTGACTGGTGCTGTTGTTTATGCAGAATTTCCTCAGTTGACACGAAGGAAAGAAACACTATGTTGGCATGAGTGCGCTTACACACTACAATTGTTCAAACCGTACTCTTTTTTCCCTTCACCAAATCAAAGGTAAAAAAACAAAACCATTTCTTTTTCTTGCCCAATATAAGTCTCATTCTTACCATACACACATCACACTTTATATACATCAAAGTCTTAATTTGTTGATGAAATTAAGGTTGCAAATTCTCAACATTGCACCAAAGCATATGCTTCTGTAACTATCCGAATCAACTCACCACTGAGTTTCCCTTTGCTTTTATGATCTTTCTGCACTACACATATTTTAGAATATCTTTTTATATCTACTACATTATGAATGTGCCAAGGAAGGTTCCTTGAGGTTGGTAATGGATATAATTTCATATCTCAGAACACAAGTTTGAATGGTTTACCTATATTAAAACTTAATAAGTATTGATGATTTAGATGTTTTTCTTTTTTTCATAATTTTTTTTTTCTGATAAGTGTTGTCTAAAAAAATTATACAAATAGACTCATTACCTAATCATCAAGTAATTTGTAAACAATAAGACTTGTTTTTGTTAGGTTTTTTAGACCAAACTCAGTACAAAGACAAAATCTTTACTGTGTATGTGTTTTTTGATTGTGTTAGTCACAACTTATACAATATATTTCTTGTCACTCCTGGTCCTGGCTCAACTCAATCACAGAAAAAAAAAATGCAACTAGTTAACATATATTATGGAACTAGTGATCCATTAGTTATTTTTCTTTTTCCATAAAGCAAAAGGTATTCTAAAAACAAAAGAAAAAGCTGCATAGTCCAAAGAGTTTTTCCAAGTAAATGCTTTATTTCTATGGTAGATCTAATCCCTAAGAGCAGTGTTATCCACAGAGAAAAACATTCAGAAAAGGAAACACACATAATCTTCATGTCATTGGACATTGTTTGAAGTTTTGAACAATGCAAACACTGTCGTGAACGAGTGAAATTGCTCAAGAAAACATGAAAGCCTTGACAAAGGCTTGTATCTCTGCACGAAGAGCAATGAGAACAGTGGCATGCTTTCTTTTCTGCCAAAGCAGACTAGGATGCATGGAACAAGCATGTAATGGAAAAGCTTTTGGGACAGAAAGTGATGCCCCTTAGGATTATTTATCAAATAATTGTGAAGGGTGTTATCAAGATGTGTTCATAAAGGTGGTGTTCTAGCCAGACCAACTTTAATCTCCACCAAAAGGGACAATTAGGAGGTCTTCAATTTGGCAATTTGTTCCAAATTAGGCTATTTTTGAAAGAATCAAAAGGGGATCAGAATCTGTGTGTTGATTCCACTTTCTGGTAGTGATCCCAGCATTGAACACTAAAGTTTTGGCCTAGGTGTCTCAATGTTCCATCTCTCAATAATCTGCATCATCACTGTCATTCCATAAATCTTTCATGAAAAGTAACCCTACTAACTTTCTACATGTCAAATTATTACACATTTTGTCGTTTTTTCCACAATATTTTAATTATGACACAGGATTTTCATTTGGAGCAGTGTTTATCTCACATGTGAAAGCAAAATTATGAAATTACTACCTAAAGTTGAGTAATTGAAAACAGGTAACGAAATTGATGAGCATGAATATATAAGTTAAAACGAAGATATTATTGTTACCTCTAGAATACTTGGAAGAATGCTCTCCATTTGAATCCCCAAAATTATGTTGAGAAATCAAAAAGATCCATGCAACCTCATAGTTCTCTGGTTTCTGGCACAAGCACAAAGATTCATCCTCAAAAAATTTGTGATATTCAACAGAAAACTTGGGGAAATCAATCCTAAGTATCTCCATGAATGCTGAAGCTGGTTCAGAGATCTGTTTTAACCTCTTCTTATAACTTCAATTTTCCTTTTTTGCTGCTTCATTAATGGTGTACCACACCACAATATTTGACAAAAACATAGTAATTTTAGCCAACCTAATTTTTCCTTTACTGTTTCTTTTATCGAATGAAAAATAAAATAAAATCTGTTGGTTATCTCCATGAAAAGTAAACATGTGATGTGTATGTTGCAGGCTTTATTAGTAAATAAGAAAGGAATAAAGTTTTATATTATAGTTTTACATTATTCCTCTTATAAATTTTACTTTATTTAATTGATTTTGCATACACGTTCTTAAAATGATATTAATATAACATATTGTTTAAATGAGTTATTGATGCAAAACATCTATTCATTTCTCACCAAATTATTTTTGTCAAAAAAAAATCTAATTTTACCTTTAGTAGGTATTTAATAATTTTTCACTATAAAATAAATTTTATTAATTCAACAATTGAATTTAAAGGCCTCACAAATTATATCAAATTCACTATAAAATCTAATTTTACCTAAAAATAAATAAACAAGTAATTATTATGAACCTTAACCACTAAATCAATTTGTATTGGTTTAGGGTAAATTTCGATACACTTTTTTTTTTAAAATTATCTATACAAACTAATTTGTAGAAACTCTCTTTTATCACTTCTTTAAATTTTTATAATATAATTATAATATATATTTTTTTTAAGTGTCGAGGATAAGACGAAATAAACTTGATAAGGATATATATAATATGAGTATAATAAACTCTTATGTTACTCAATATTTTCCTTAGTGTACCATTTTTTTCCTTATACATATATGTTATAATGTCCTGTATTTTAAGTTAATCAAATAATATTATAGAAATTTTACAAAATAAAGTATTATATTTTATTTGAATTATATAATATTTTTGAAAATTAATGTTGAATATACTTTTATAACTTTTTATTAATATATATATATATATATATATATATATATATATATATAATATGTAACGAGAAAAGTATGAAAAAAAATTCTCCATTATTAATCAGAAAGCTTAAAACAATATATCTAAAAATTGTTCTGGCCTAATATGTTCATAGCTTTTTTTTTTAAATTATTTTTGACGCATTACAAAGATTAAAGTGATAAGAATCAAGATTCAGGATCAAATTAAAATAGAGTTTGAGAAAAATCTATGGACAAATATCTTAGTTTTTTTCTATATATTTAGAATACATTATATTATAAAGATAAGTATAAGATGGTAAAATAGACTAGGTTGTTTAAAAAACATCAAGACGAATTGATAACATTTTAATTCATCCTACTTAGTTGATCAAGAATGATTTTAACATCCTAGATAAATACAAACTTCGTCTCAGTGAATTGTTTTTTTTTTTTTTTAAATTGAATTAAAGATTTGAACAATTTTAAAATATACTTCAAAAGAGAAAAAAATGGTAAGAATAAACTTAGAAATTTTTCATGCATTCACTCATTATTTTGTGTTTTACTATTTTATCTTTATTATAATAAAATAATAACATTAATAATAATAATAATAATAATAATAATTAATCCATTGGAATAATTTATAATATTTCTTTTATTATTATTTATTTAATTTGATTTGATTGCGATTCACTGCATAAAAACTAAAATATGGATCAATCAAATTCAATGAATTATAATTTATATAAATCCGAACAATTATCACACTTGATAAAAAGGCAAATGAGTAGACATTGAAAAGATAGTTAATGGTTCAAAACTCTTAAGGCAAAAGTTATTAAGTTAACTTATTAATTTATAAATGTTTAATAAAAGTATTTATCAAATTAAATAAGAAATTTAAAAAAACATAATAGATATTTTTATCAATATCTTATAAAAAAACTACCTTATATAAAAATAGTAAAAGTATTAAAACTCTATTAACGAGTGAAAGGAGAGTAATATATAAATATTTTGAAGGTAAAAAACGAATAAAATACAAAATTTTAGGAAGTAGTTTTTTATAAATTAAAAATGCATGTTTTTCCAGCTATACTAATAAATTTTTAAAAATAGTAAAAAAATATCTAAAATGTGTAAAACATAACTTTCAGCTTTTATCTCGAGTTGCTCAACGATAATAAAAGTAGGAAAAAAATCCCTCTCCATAAAAAATAAATAAATCACTAATTAGTTTAAGCTTTTACTTTTTTCTTTGTAATTTTAACAATAATTTAGGTTATTTAAGTCAACTCTCATTTTACTTAGTAGTTGTGTATTATTATGGTAGGGGTTGCATTATTACATCATGGTGTAAAACCAAATATAAAATATGATCATTTTAGTTTTTCAATTTTCAGTTTATTCAAAATTTTAATCAATTTTTCTATTTTTCATAAAATTTGATCAATTTATAGCCATGGTTTATGTTTATAATTTTTAATATTTATAGAAGATAGCGTTGTATATTATTTTATCTATATCAAGGTAAGGAGTGTATTAATAACAAGGGGGGATAGCAAATTGGGCCAATAATGGGCTTTGGGCTGGACCAACAAGTCGATATTATTAGGCCCAATATATATACAGTCCTTTTTTCTTTTATACTTTTAATTCCTTTTGTTTTTCAGAAGTTTATTTTGAAAATGAATTTTAAAAAATAAAATAAAAAATCTAAAATGTGAAATATACAAAAAGGGAAAATGAGGAAAAGTAATAGAAATGAATTTGAAGTAGTTACATTGTTTGTTTGGCAAACATTTAACGTACCATCTTCAGTATAAATACACCCTTCCCCGTTCTGTTTCCGCGTCACAGTTTTTTACTTTGTTTAATTTTCTTTTCGCTCCCGAATTCTTCAATTCAGATGGATAGAAGCAGTTCCAGACGCAGAGGCCGTTCTCCTTACCATGGCGGCAATGCCGGCCGTAACCAGTGCGCAACTTCTTCGGAACTGAAAGGACGTCCCCTTTAAAGTTTTCTAACTCCAATCTAATTTATGATTTTTACCCCAAACTTAATTAATATTTAATATATTTACTTATATATTTACAATTTTATCCTCTAATAATTCTTATGTAATTTATGATTTTGTCTCTCAATGATAATTTAATATATGTAAGTATATATTTACAATTTTATTTTTTTTACATTTTTTCTCTTTCTTCCTTTTATATTTATTAATAATATATTATTTGTCCCAATATCATTCTTCAACATCCGTGGCGGTAACAGTTCCGGTGGCAGAGGCGGCAATGCTGGCCGTAACAGTTCCGGTGGCCGAGGCGGCAATGCTGGTCGTAGCATTTACCGCGGCCGTGACAGTTACGTTGGCCGTACAGGAAGGCCTTGTCAACTTCACCAGTTCAGTAGTGGCAATGAACAAGGGTTTCCTTCCAAACAACAACCACTAAACCCTTGTTCTCCTGGTGCATCTTCAGAATCTCACAATTCTCACCCTCAAACTGAAACTGAAACTGGAAATGAAAGACAAACTACTCATAATCCAGGTATTGAGCGCGTTATTCTTGCTTATTTTGATGCGTAATTTATAGCCTAAAATCTGCATCAATATTTATAATAAATGATAGTACTAGTTGAATTTATTTTGAATTCTTAACAGACGCGGGTTCTTTGAAAATATCAAAGGAGAATATCAGACGTATGCATAGGCCTGACAAAGGGGAAAAGGATAAAGTTGAAACAAGGAATCTCGAGGTGAACCATTTCCTTGTTGAGTTTGACGAAGACAGAGTAATATTCCAGTACGATGTCGATGTGAAGGCCAGGGCACCGCCCATGAACATTCGGAATAAGCTATTTTCCGATCACACGCTACCGAGTTCGGCGTACGACAGAAAAAGGAACATCTTCAGCTCGGAGCCGTTGCCGGCACAAACCTATGATGTGGACGAAAGGCTCGTTGGCTATTCGGTCACTTTCAGACTCGTGAAGGTGCTTGAACTCCGCAAATTGAGAGATTACTTGAATGGAAATGTTCTTTCGACTCGTAGAGATGTTTTACAGGGCTTGGATTTGGCAGTGAAAGAGAATCCCGCGCAGCGGTGTGATTCCTTTGGGCGCTGCTTCTTCCCCATGCATAATCTTAGAGCTCCACGAGATGGGGGTAATTGTCGAGAAGAATATATTTAATTAACTAAATTATAGGTTTGGATAATAGTAAATAATTAAAATTTATTTTATTTAATTTTATAATTAAAACTTATTTTATTTAATCCTAATTTAAAAGAGTAAAAAACTTACTTTATTTAATCTTAATATGTAGAAGTAAAATATTATAAGAACATGGTGTATGTATTTAAAAGATACATGAATACAATTATAAAATGAATTCCTATATTTTCTAATTTGGTATTAGAATTTATAATTTTTTTTTCTAAATCTTTAAAGATCTTAACTGGAGAGATGACAAAAAAATCAATTCTAGTGGTAATTCAATCGAAGGTGTCTTTAACTTAGGTATAATCTTAAATGAATCCAACTATGATGTATGATTACAATTAATGGAGATGCACATTGCAGAGAGGGAAAAATTGTCCTACATCCGTGGGAAGGTGAAGCCTCCAACAGAGAAAGATGAGGGATATGAAAACTGGTATACTAAAAACCAAAAAGTGAAAAGATGGTTACTGATGTACATGAAGCCAGAAATCATGAAAAGATATTTTCGCTTACCCACTACCCTCGATATTTGGAATGTTTTGTCAAAGGCGTTTTATGATGAAAGTGATGAGCTACAGGTGATTGTCCTGAATCAAAGGGTATTCACTGCAAAACAAAATAATAGAACCTAATTGAATATTATGGGGAGTTTATTGATATTTTTAGGGAATTGAATTATCGTGACAAAGTAGTTACGAAGGACCTGATGATGTGAAGTCATATAGAAGTTCATTGAAAGATTGAGGGTGCATATATTTCTTACTAGACTGGATGATGATTTTGCGCAAGTTCGTGGAGAAATTTTACGCGAAGAAGTGACACCTGAAGAATGCTATGCATTTATCTAGAGAGATAGTCCGACGAACAACGTTGAAAACAGAATATATGATTTTTGATTCCACAGCTATGATGATAAGGAAGCAAGCGAAGCAATCAAAAGGTCCTGGAAAAGATACTACAAGTGTCCTCAGTGTAATAAGGATGGACATACCAAATAATGATGTTATACCCCAAGTGGTGGGATCACAGTCAAGTATCGAAGAAGAATTCAAAAATAAATCCAACTGTTGTTGTAACTACCATTGACAAAGATGACGACAAAGACATGATGTTTGCTACAACCGCAAGTAGTGATGATTCCAATGGTAAGGTCTTAATAAGCACATCTACCGTTCATGGATAATTGACTCTGTGTGTTCTGCTCATGTGACTTTTGATGTTAGATAAATTAAAAATCTTAAATCTTCCTCACAAAAAAGTATATTTCCACAACCAATGATAGTAAATCCACTATAATTGGAGAAGAAACTGTCTTTATTTTAAACAATTTCAACCTTGATACTGTCTTTGTTGTTCATTCTCTTAAATATAACCTATTGTCAGTTTCGCAAATAATCAAAGTTCTTTTTATGTGTTATAATTTTGGGGTCTGACTCTTGTGTTTTTAAGGACATTTAAACGAGGAAGACAATTGGTTATGGTATTAGGTGAGGAAGGTTGTATTACCTGGAAGATTCAAAAGACTTGGTCAAGTACTAACAATAAAAGAGTCTCAAGAAGTGAGAAAAAGCAATTTTAATCAATTATGTCGAGGTAAAAATCAATTTCTCAATTCTGATGCATTATAATCAATTATGACAGTGAAAAATGTCATGTTACGAAATTTTATCACACTTGTGTTTTTGAGGCTTATACATAATATTACTTCATCACCTTGCACCTCCATATCCAGTATTCTAAGACTCTATCTAGTCTTTAGGAATCATCATAGACTTGCTTGAATCTTGAATAGAATCTTTATCAAAATCATATCTTGGGCTTGCTTGAGTCTTGAATGTTGTTGACTTGAATCATCATCAAAATCATTTCTTGGGAATGTAGGGACATGTTTCACATTACCATCAATCTCCCCCTCATTGCTTTCAAATATTAACTATTGAAGAATCTATGCATGTTGTGTTTGACGAAACTGTTAAAGGTACATTGCTTGAGCATAAAAAAAGTGCAGATCTTGAGATTACAGAAGAATCTCAAATCATTCAAGAAAAAAATGAGCAACAACAATCAGAAGAGTTACCAAAAGAATACAAATTTCCAAGAGGACTATCTTTAGAAAATGTGACTAGAGATATATCAACTGCAGTGACAACCAGAAGACAAACTGCTCAATTTTGCATGAATGTTGCATTTATATCTCAAGAACCAAAATTTTTGGAAGAAGCGTTAAAATATTAACATTGGTTTCTTGCTATGCAGGATGAACTAAATCTATTTAAGAGGAACGATGTTTAGAAACTAATTCTTAGAAATTAATCTCAACAGGTTGTTAGAACTAAATGAGTGTTCATAAATAAGTTGGATGATGTTGGTTGCATTGTGAGAAACAAAGCTAGATTGGTGGCTAAAGGTTATAGTCAAGAGGAAGGTATTGATTATAATGAAACTTATGCACCTGTAGTAAGATTGGAAGCAATTAGAATTATGTTAGCTATAGTATCTACATTGAACTTCAAACTATATCAAATGAATGGTAAGAGTGTTTTTTCTTAATGTCTTTATCAAGGAAGAAGTATATGTTGAACAACCTCTTGGTTTCATAGATTTTGAATTTTCATATCATATATTCAAATTGAAAAAATCACTTTATGGATTGAAATATGCACCTAGATCTTGGTATGAAAGATTAAGTCAATTCCTTATTAAAAGTAACCTCAATAGAGGTAAGGTGGATTCAACCTTATTCATTCAGATCTGGTAAGGAGTTGTTATTTGTACAAATATATGTGGATGATATTGTATTTGGATCTACTAATTCACTTTTGTGCAAAGATTTTTCAAAAATTATGCAGCAAGAATTTAAAATGGCAATGATGGGAGAGCTTACATTTTCTTCGATTTACTAGTTAAAAAAGTCAAGACTAGAATCTTTGTACATCAATTTAAATATTGTATAGAATTATTAAAGAAATACTCTAAGGATAGTTGTAAGGAATCAAAACCCCAATGACCACAAACTGTTATCTAGACACTAATGAAAATGGTAAATTAGTTAATCAAACCATGTACAGAGGTATGATAGGCTCACTTTTATACTTAACTTCTAGTCTTCCTAACATTATGTATTTGTGCACGATTTCAATCTACTCCTAAGGAATCTCCTTTAATTGCTATAAAAAGGATTTTGAAATACTTAAAAGGTACAAAAAATCTTGGTTTATGGTATCCTAGAGGGGTTGAACTTATTTTAACTGGTTATAGTGATTCTGATTTTGGGAGATATAAAATTGATAGAAAAAGTACTAGTGGAACTTATCATTTACTAGGATGTTCTTTAGTATCATGACATTCTAAGAAACAAGTGTGTATAACATTGTCTATTACTGAAGCTGAATACATAGTTCCAGGAAGTTGCTATGCTCAATCAATTTGGATTAAATATTAGTTAAAAGACTATGGTATATCGTTTGAAATGTTACAATACTAGTGTTATAAATCTTACTAAAAACCCAATTATGCATTCTCGAACAAAACACATAGAAATTAGACATCACTTCATTAGAGATTATGTAATTAAAGAGGATTGTAAAATAGAGTACATTAACACAAATCAACAATTAACAAATATATTTACTAAACTATTGCCTAGAGAAATATTTTATACTATTAGAAATGAATTAGGCATATTGGATATAAGTTACTCTGCTTAAAACCTAGTCTGCATAAAATCTTATAGAAATAATCAATTAATATTTACCATAATTGATTAGATCATTTTTAGGAATGAAAAATTAATCGATTAGTTTTAAAATAATCGATACTTTCATAAATTTATGAGGTGCATTATTAATCAATTATCAGCTTATATAATCAATTAAAATGACCTTTTTAAGACTATGAAGCATGCGCTGTTAATCAATTATCAACTTATATAATCGATTATCAAAAGTACAAAATTATTCCAATTAAGTCCTTTACACATTACACTTTACCAACACTTTCTCACTTTCACTTGTCCCTATCTTCATACCCTAACTTCTATTACTCACAAAAATCCTCTTGTTACCCACATTCTCCACAATCCTCTTCTTGTTATTCTGATTTTATGGCTTCCATCACAAAAGCAAAAAGAATGAAGAGAACAACATCGAAGAGACCTTCAAGGACTACTTCTGCAGAAGGGTGGATAAGTGATGATGAACAAAGGGAAGAGTATCTTATTCACTTGAAAGAGAGAAGACTCATCACTAGTACCTTTCTATTTCATTGTTTATAAGCAATGGTTTTTTGTTTCAAGATTTATTAGTTTACCAGGGATTAGATTAGAAAAATTCATTAAGTTGAATGGGATGTTCTACCTTGACTTAGTTAAAGTCTTTTACTGCAATATGAAGTCTGTTGATGGATTTATTCAACCTAGAGTGAAAGGCGTGAAAATAATTCTAGATGAAGAAATATGGATAAATGTTGTAGATTTCAGAATAAGAGGTGAGAATGTTACTAGCGGTTTTGAAAATTTTAATAAGCTAGCTATTTTCAGATCATGTCTTAGGGACCCAAACACTTGCATAAATTATTCTATCTACAAGACTGGTGGTATGAAAAAGGATGAGATTATTAGTTTTTATAATTACTTGGATTCTTGTAGTCAGGGGGAGTAATCATGCTCAACTAACCTCTAAAGACATGTATATAATACATGCTCTTAAATTTAGATTTCAAATTGATTGGTCTGCTATTGTTAGTGATAATATGAGAAAGTCATATAATCTAGTTTTTTGTCAAGAGTATTTGACTATGTTAGAGTAAATATGAATGGAGAGTCTTTTACCATCATGAGTCATGCAAATAAAATAGGAAAATTTGTCCTTCACCACATGGGGGTGGTGAAGAGAGATGATGGATGATTCTTCAAAGATGAGAAAGAATTTATTGATGAAGGAGTAGAACCTATTAATGCAAACATTCATGCT